CAGGGGCAGGCGGGAGACATATGCAAGTTGTCAGGGCACCCTCGTGGCACCCAGCCTCCCCGAATGAGCACAGCGAAAGTGTGAAGAGCAGGCAGAGGAGCCGAGGCCTGTGCAGAGACCAGGGCTGGGGGCAGGGGCAAGCCTGCAGGCTGCAGGACCCAACAAGGGGCTTCGGGTGGGGTGGGGCCACTTGTGATGCCCACATGTGGCTGTGAGAAGGGGGCATGGCTGTCCTCCAGGAGACCCACAGGAAGGGGCAGCTCCGCAGGCCGAGATGGCACAGAGCAGGGACAGTGGGGGCTTGATCTTCTCCAAGGGATGGAAGGCGGGGCCTAGGAAGGCGTTCCAGGTCGGGGGGAGCAGCATGAGCAAAGGCTGAGACGGGGTGCTAAGTTCAGGTCAGTGATGAGGAAGCGCAGGCAGGTGTGGAGGGTTCCCAAGGACAGCACAGGCAGCCCTGGGGCAGCATTCTGAGGGCCCTCCCAGGGGAGAGTTCAGGCTTCAGCTGTGGCCTGGCCAGGACTGTTCTGGGCCACAATGGCCCTTCCTCCAGGCACCAAAACCCTCATCCTGGACCTCCCCGTCTCCTCGCAGCACTTGATGACCTGTAAGCTGGGAGCTCAGGGCATCTGGGAGCCCAGGGATGCCCTGCAGAAGCTGCAGGACATGGATGCGCAGGGCCGGGTGTGGAGCCAGGTCTTGCTGCTGCAGGTCCAAGATGGCTGGCTCCGGCTGCTGGACATCCAGACCAAGGTCAGCCCCTCCCTGACACTGGGGTGTGTGTGCGTGACACCAACTGGGGCTCTTCCGCACTGTCCTCCCTCCTCCCTCATCCACTCCACCCCTCTACACACACATACACACCCAGGCTTAGGTGGGGAGCGGGGGCAGAGGGAAGGAGGCCCACAGGGTTGGGCCAGTGGTACCCCAGCCCTAGTCTCTTCAGGAGGATTGGATACCCTAAGCCTGGCTCTCGCCAACCTCTCTACTGACCTCTCTGCCTGACCAGGAAGAGCTGGACTCTTACCGCCTGGACAGCATCCAGGCCATGGACGTGGCGCTCAACACCTGCTCCTTCGACTCCGTCCTGTCCATCACGGTGCAGGAGTCGGGCCTGCCAGGCACCAGCACGCTGCTCTTTCAGTGCCAGGAAGTGAGGGTGAGCAGTCAGGGGTGGGGTGGGGGAGAGGGCAGGGGTGGGGTGCAGAGAACACCCCACAGACCCGCCTGCTGTCCTGCAGGCTGAGCAGCTGAGGACCAGCCTGCAGAAGGCCCTGGAGGAGGAGCTGGAGGGAAGGTCAGCCGCTCTGTCCCGCCCTTGCCTACGGCCTGGACCCAGGCTCCACATCTTGGAAACCCCAGAATCCAACCCTCATGGGCCTGGGATTGGGTTGCTGCCAAGCTAGGGCCAGGGCATAGCCAGGCAGGAGAAAGCGTCTGAGGCGGAGACCACGGGCACTAGAGCCTGTCCATGGAGACTGACAGGGGCCCTCAGAGGGTGGCCTGGCTGAATACCACAGCGCTGCTAGGGGGTGGTGCCCCTGGTTGTGTGTGTCCAGGGGGAATCAGGGATTGGCTCAGATGGAAGCAAAGAAATGGCGTGGGGCAGTGGGCCTTGGAGAAATGTGGGCCCTCCTGCGTCCTGGGCAGACATGAGGTGGGGACCTTCGTCAAAGACGCCCTCCACCTTGTTCTCAGCAGACCTCGGTTTCGAGCCTCTCATCCAGGCCAGGAAGGATGGCGGGGGCCTCCTGTGGAGAGGCCGCTCCCTCTGGACCGGGGTCCCCCACCGGACCAGGCCCCCACTCTGGTTCGGGGGCCTGTGACAGAGATGGCCGGCCCAATGGATCCGGGCTTCCCTCCAGGGGGTCACCACTGGCTGACACCGGAGAATGGTGAGTTGGGGGGCGGGGGAGGGGGAAGAAGGGACAGACCGCAGACGCAGGCGGCTTGAGCCCAGGGTCCCCCCATGTTGCAGGTGTACCACCCTCCCCAAGGTCCCTGTCCTACCACTCCAGTACTCAAGGACCAAGAGCCCCTGCAAGACGGGCCCCATCCCCTGAGGACCTAGCGAGGGATGAGGTGACTGCAGACAGGGGCTTGCTGGGGTTTTCGGGGCCTGGGGGTCAGGATGACTAGGTCCCGGTTCTGGTCCGAGGAGGGCCAGCAAGGCTTGGCTCAGGCTGGGCTGGGCCTTGGGGTGGGGGTGGGGAAGGGCGTGCCTTACAGCCCTAAAGAGCACGAGCTGTTCCGGGTCCAGGAGCTCCTGAACCACGTCCTGACGGACATGGAGCTGTTCCTGGGGAAACTGAAGGGAGTCCAGCCCCGGTCCAGCGGCAAGAAAAAGAAGAAGATGAAGAAGAAGTATCAGGGAGGTGGGTGCTGATGCTGAGGACCGGGGAAGGCGGGCGAGCCAGGGGAGGAGTCTTGTAGGGGGTTTGCTGTGACCCACGGCCCCTTCCACAGGCCTCACACGGGTCCAGTACATTGACTACTTCCAGAAGACCAAGTACAGCCTCATCCTCCTGGTATGCGGCTTCCTCCAGCGCCTCTCCTCCCGCCTCCCCCACGGTCTTAAGGGCCAGCCCCAACAGCTTGTTTCTCCAGCCTCTTCCCCACATCCCTCGCCACATCCACTCTGGGGGTTCTGGGGGAGCAGAAAGCTCCCAAACGAGGCCTCAAACCATTGCTGGGGGGCTGGGGCCCTGGCAAAGTTGGGTAGGGCGAAGGTGGTGACAGCCACTGCCCTGTGTCCCCAGGGGAAGCTGGTCACCAAGCTTCAGGAGCCGAGTGCCCCTGATTTCGTGCACATCATCTTCGAAACTCTGAACTTTGTGAGTCGGGGAAGAAGGACAGACCGACGTCAAGAAGAAATGGAAGGAGGAAGGGTGGGGGTGGGGGCAGGGCGCACACGGGAAGGACATGGGGCAGGAGACTGTGGGCCCACCCCTTGTTCCCTCAGCACACCCTCTTCTTAAGAGCCGCCACTCCCAGCGGGGCCCCCAGGTCTGGTGGCCTAGATGGATGGGGTCAGGTCCATGAAGCAGGAGGATAACTTGCACGCAGCAGTTTGGCTTTTCCAGCGGGAAGCCAGGCGGGCTGGGCTCTTTCTTACCCCTATTTGGCCTTGTGGGAGCCTAAGCTTCGTGGCATTGCCCACCCCTCCCTCAGGTTCTGTCCCAGTGCCCCGAGTCTGACCTCGCAGCACAAGTGACCTCACCACTCCTCACTCCCCAAGCCACCAACCTGCTGCTGTCCTGCCTGCGCCAAGAGGAGAGGAACACCTGGCAGGGGCTGGGCAAGGCCTGGACCACCAACCAGTGAGTTGACAAGCTCTGAGCCAGGTTGATTCGTCGGGAGCAAGAGGGCACGGATGGGGTCAGAGGGCAGCACATCAGAAGTGACCAGGCTCTCCATAGTCACAAACCAGTAATCTTTGCAACCAATTGGTGAGTGGGGGTGGGGGCCTCTACATGGAGCACTGATGCATCGTGGGTTATGAGTTGAGTGCTAACTGAAAGGTCAGCAGTTCCAACTCACCAGCACCGCCCCCCCCCCACCTCCTCACCCCCCGCCTTGGGAGAAAGACGAAGCTTTCTGCTCCCATAAAGATTTGCTGCCTCAGAAACCCACCAGGGTGGTTCTGCGCTGTCCTATAGAGGCCTGCTGTGAGTCAGAATTGAGTTGATGGTGCTGAGTGGGTGACTCTATACGGGAACGTGGCGAATTTTGACTGTGCTGGGTACAGAGGGTTAACAACGAGAGAGACAACCACGAGCTTTCACCCGCAGAGAAGGCATTAGCCCAGGGAACAAGAACGTCCCTTGTGAGAAAGGATCGCCAGCAATCTTCTTCTAACACATCTTCTCATAGAGTTTGGGACAAATTGAAAACTTTGTCTCAATCCGGCCCGGAATCTAAGAATGGGTGGTGTAGGTGATACCACGGATGTACTGTCAACAGACATGGGGACCAGCAGACTAGGGAGTGAGGAGACAAAGAGATAGGCTAAGCCTGTGTAGCTGAGATGGCCTGGGACCAGAGGCCGCGCTGATGAGAGCAAGGGGCCAGGGCCAGGGGGTGGGACCAGCTTGGATACACTGAGCTGAGGTGCCTAAGAAGTCAACAGGGAAACAGGCCAGTTCATTGAATGAGTCTTTGGCCTCATGGCCAATTCTTTTTAATTCAGCCCCATTTTATGGGACCCCCCCCCC